TAAAAAAAAAAAAATTGCCGCGTGCGGCGCTAGAGTGTTCGGGTTTCACTTGAAGAAAAGGTGGCAACCCTATCTCCACCGCTCGCTACTGTCCAAAGATCTGAAGATTATCGGGCAGCCGTAGAGGATAGTGGGGCGGGCGCATGTGCAGTAGAGACCTTCTGCCGTGAGAAGAGTAGAAACTCGGTGTAAGTCAATGCACGTAGCCGGGAGCGTGCACGCGCACAGACATCGTGGGACACAGAAGGCACAGCAGTCAGCGCTGGATCAGAGACCGGCACCAGCGCTGGAGGGACTCCTGAAAAGAAGTGGAGTGGAAGGAAGAAGATGAACGAATCAAGAGGCATCATTTAAGGTAAAGTCCTTAAAGGAGAACTTTGGGGTCAGTGTTTTTCCCCATAGTTCTCCTTAGGGTAACGGGAGAACACAAACTAGCGTCTTCCCGTTACCCTAAGCTACAGTATACTGAGACGCCGGAGCGGATCCCGACATCGATGTCAAGATCCGCCCAGCTGCCTGAGTGACAGCTGGCTCTGCCTATCTAGAGGCAGAGCCAGCTGTACCCGCCCCTTCCCCCGTCCGTTCCGCCAGTCAGCGCTGGGGGAATCCAGCCACTCCCCTGTGACGGCAGAGAGCCGTGACAGGATCGAGAGGTGAGCGAACGCCGGTATCTGTTCGCTCACCTCCCGATTTACTGAGCCGACCTGTGATAGTCTCATTGTCACAGGTCGGCTAGAACTATGAGGTGAGTGGAAATCACTCATCTCATAGTTATCCTTTTAAAGTAGCATGGGGGTGGGGAGGAAAAGATCTGTGACTTTATTGTCCCTTTAAGCTATGATTTATGCACACATCTAAATGAGGAGTAACACCTCCTTCTCATTGCCTCATTCATTTGAATCTTTATATATATATGTATAGAGAGAGAGAGAGAGAGAGACTGAAAGGAAGCCACTACTGTTGTGTACTTTAGAGAATCCAAACCAATGGTTGACCCCAGTGTGATTGGTGCATCTTGTATTTGTAAAACAAAGACTTTTACAGTACTAAATAGTTACTTAGCATAAGTTACGTTTTTAAAGCTATGTTATATTACAAGTTCAACTATTTTAGAATGACACTGCTACTTAACATAAGCTGGAGTAGTGTGTCACAGCTAGAAGAAGATAGGGGTTTGAATCTGTACTCCCAGACACCATGTACAAACTGATGGTAGATAAAAGCTTACATGTGCATTAAGAGACCAACAATCATTTGTAGTTGGACAATTCATTGGCTGGACATGACCATATTGAGTAATAATTCAAGGAACATGTCCTAACCCTTCCCCACTATATCCAGAAGAAAAATGTCTAGGCTGGAGGTCCATAAGAATTGATCTTTTACATTCCTCTTGTCCGTGGGTGATTGTTTTCAATACATGTTGTCTTTTCCAGATCTCCAGTCCAGATGAGGATTTTGAGGGCAGATCTTTGTATGAAAGCTGGACAAACAAAGATCCTTCCACGCAGAGTGCTGATCTGCCAAGGTAAAGCGTCACGGTCCATCCCCTCAAGCTGGGCATACATACTGTCGTTAGAATTGTTTGCACTCCTCTGATCATGGTTTTTACATTTTGTGGCCAGCCCCAGCCCCAGGGTGCAAGAAAGACCATGCATGGATTTGTATAAGCATGAGCCAAATTTAACCCAACCCTTCCACTCCTTATCTAAAGCATGCCCCATTATTAGCTTGTTCTTGTAGCAATTAACAGTTTTAGTATTACTCCCTGTGAAGTCACCTGGGTTGTAAAATTCTTGCAGGGGCAGCTGCTAGAAGGGATCAACAGGGTGCCCTATGTCCGTTTCAAATGACTTGGGCATGTTCCCTGATCTGCATCTCCCAAAAGCCTTTTCTCTACACAGTGTAGTGGCAAGCTTTTGGGAGTCAAGGCAGCAGCTGGTTGGGAAGAAACCAATATTGCTTGCAGAGAGGGGTGGGGATAGTTGGAGTTCTGTAGACCAGCAGTGGAGACAACACTGCTTGGGATTTCAGTGCAGCAGAGGCCTTGTGTTGGCTTGCTATGGGAATATAGGAGCTCACTGGATTTATGGCAAATCGGCAGGTATTTTTCTGTCATTTCAGAATTATTTTGCCTAGACATGCACTGTAATTGCTGCTTTGATTCAGTAAACTTGTTCAGAATTGTCTTTGAAGAGTACACCTTTTTTTTTAGCTGTTTTTTCCTGCCTCTCTTATGCAGACTACCACATTCTCTTTTTCTTTCTCTTTCTCTGCAGGATAAACAAGCTTGGCTCCGGCAGCGACTTTGAAGCATATTTCCAGCGTCTAGGGCTTGCATCCGCAAGAGCACGCTACACAAAAAATAGGGTAAGAAGACTGAGATGCATGTGTCTGCAATGGATCCATTTATGGTGTAGACTTAGCTAGGGGAAACTAGATCCAAGCCTCAAAAACTAGATGGGACCTTGAATTAAGTCTGGGACCTCCTACTGGAGTACTGCAATCTGATAGCCGGCCAGTCACACAATAAAACCTGCTCACACCGGGTGGTGGTGATGGGCCCCCTTTCAGGCCTATGAAAGAGCAAACATTAACTATTTAACTAATAAGCATCCCATTCCGGATCATTTTTTTTTTCTTGAATGAACAAAATTCTAACTGATTGTTTCCATTCCGAAAACTTCATTCATTCCAAAATGGAATGTTAAAATCAATTAGATTTTGAACATTTGTCGTGTCTCTGATGGCATTAGCCAATGTTTTGAGGAGATTTTTCATATGAAAGTTTCAGCTTTAGCAACTGAGCTCTGTAGACACTTTTTCAACAAAGCAGTTAGGACTATTCTGGCAAATATGTTAAAGGGTCCAAGAGCTCGACCCGCATGCTGGATACTACAAAACTGGAAACTACAACAGAACTATTTCATATTTACCTGAGCAAAGATCAGGGAAATTCTTATTAGATCCTAGCATAATATATATAAGCCACTATATGTTCTCTATAAAGCAGAACAGTCTTCAGCAATCCTATATTTTACATCTGAAATTGGAAAACTAGAGAGTTCACTTACCCACCCTTGGTCCTTTCATCTAGCTTGGATTTGGCCAGTGGGAGGAGTCGGGTGGGGCCAGTACATCACTGTGGTAACACCCACTTACCAGTGATTGACATTTACTGTAGCTTTGGCTAAATGTGAACCGAAGACTGTAAACCAGATGCTGCTTGTTGCATATGTTTATAATTAGGG